CGAGGTTGTTGTTGAGGCGTGCCATGATATATGCCTATTCTCATTATGTATACATATAATATAATTATTTAATATATAATATAATATATATATATATATAATATAAATTAATGAATTAATATATTTAGATATTATATATATAATATAAATATAATGTAATATAATATAATATAATATAATCATTAATTATATACATATAATAATATTATATAATATATAATATAAATTAATTTAATATAATAATAATATAATATATATAATATAATAAATATAAATATGTAATATAATATGAGTATAATAATGTTAATATAATATAAATAATATAATTAATATAATATACTTAATAATATAATCTATAAATAATGTAATATAATATAATAATATATAATTTAATATTAATATAATATAATTATAATATAATATATATAATTAAATAATGTAATATAAATATGATATAATAATTATAATATAATATAAATAATATAACATAATAATATTACTATAATATATTATAAATAGCGGCAGATTGGCCCGAGGAAATGCTTGGCGGGGAATTACGCGAACATGATCCGTCTGCGCACCCGCTGCTATCCGCCCTTCGGCTCGTTTCTCATTCCGCTTTCAGTCGGTCCGGCTTTCCCCGCGCGCAGATGAAGTGTTTACCGATTTCACAACAGAAATTTTCCTGTACTTAGTGTCGCGTTCGGATGTGGACGTCACGGCGCTCGCGGAAACGGCTGTTTGATCTGTATTATGAAATGGCCGCAATTAGCACAGGAAGATTCTGATAGTCCAAGGTACCTAAGCTCAATAATCGCTACAGGACGGTTGAGCACGCTGTGTTTATTCAGTTAATGCTAAGATTATACTATATATATATATATATATATATATATATATATATATAAAATTATATTTTATTGTATTCTGTTGCAAAGATTCAGCGACGAAATCGCTTCGGTTAACTTAGCAAAGCAAATCATGGTCGTTATCTAAACGCGCAAAATTCTACACAAACAGTTTGGCTGCTACAGCGTTTTGTGGATATGTGAAATCGGAAATACGCACAATTTTGCGACGGGCTATGATAATCTTGAATTTATTAGGCCTCGCGCTGCGATCAGCAAATAACGATAGACATTTTGTGTGCGTTGGGCTAGGTGTAATTCAACGATTGCGCCATCGATTCTATATGAACAGTTTGATAGCATGCCATGGCGATCAATGAACGACTTTTTATTCCGTGTTGTCAGAAGAGCAGTTACCATCTAAATTCATATATTCAACCATGAGGCTCGACATTTAAAACACTTGGCAAATACACACACACACACCACACACACACACACACACACACACACACACAACACACCACACACACACACACACAATACACACGAGCGCGCGCCACACGACACACAGCACGCACGCACAGACTCAACCACACACACACACGCGCCACAGCGCTGCGCAGCCGCACGCACGACCACAACTCGCAGGCACGCACGCACGCACGCACGCACGCACGCGCGCACACACACACACCACACACACACGCACACACACACTCGCACGCACGCACGCACGCACGCACGCAACGCGCGCGCACACACACACACACACACACACGTACACACATACACACGTGTGATGATTCATTATACATGCATTATGCAGGACAGACGGATAATGAAGAAAGTCGCGTACTATTCCCAATCGCTTCTTCTGTCGCTATATCTATTTATCTATCTATCTATCTACTTCCCTTGGTCTCGCTCCCTCTTTCTCTCTCTCCCTCTCCTTCTCTCTCTATCTCTCTCTCTCCCCCCCTCTCTCTTCCTCTCTCTCTCTCTCTCTCTCTCTCTTTCTTTCTCGCTCTCTCTCTCTCGCTCTCACTCTCTCCCTCTCTTTCTCTCGCTATCTCTATCTCTCTCTTTCTCTCTCTCTCTCTCTCTCTTTCTCTCTCTCTCTCTCTGTCTCTCGCTCGCTCAATATCTATATCAATATGTCAGCCAGTCAAACAGTCAGGCTTACGTTTATGCATCAGCCACGTATATCTAGCAATGCACTTAAATCAGCACAAATCCTCGCGAACCTGTGGCAAAGATTTCGACGCAAACCAAGTGATACAAAGTGTACGCGGATCCGTGTGGTGACTGTTACCATCGTGCGGTCTATGTCAGACAACGCTTGCACCGTAGTTACGCGTATGCCGCCCCCCCCCAAACGTATTCATTCTCCTCTCTATGTTGTAAAAAAAAACGTCCAAATCTACAGCGAAATTCATTCATACGCCACGCCTCATAGTTGTAAATAATAAAATTCCGAAACAGTTCCGTGGCATATCCATTCACATTTTCGTCGTAATTTCCACGCAACGGTGCGTTTTGTGCTCGGTAAAAAATGAAGCAACGTAGACAACGAGATTGTCTCTCTTGATGGCCCGTTATTGTTGCTGTATTTGTTTCTCTCTGCGCGTATATATGCGGTTTCTCCTGATGGCCCGTTACTGTTCTTGTATTTGTTTCTCTCTGCGCGTATATATGCGGTCTCTCCTGATGGCCCGTTACTGTTGTTGTAGTTGTTTCTGTCTGCGCATATATATGCGGTTTCTACGGATGGCCCGTTACTGTTGTTGTAGTTGTTTCTGTCTGCGCATATATATGCGGTTTCTACGGATGGTCCGTTACTGTTGCTGTATTTGTTTCTCTCTGCGCGTATATATGCAGTTTCTCCTGATGGCCCGTTACTGTTGTTGTAGTTGTTTCTGTCTGCGCATATATATGCGGTTTCTACGGATGGCCCGTTACTGTTGTTGTAGTTGTTTCTGTATTTGTGTATAGATGCGGGTTTTCCTGATGGCCCGTTGCAGTTGTAGTTGTTTCTGTCTACGTGTATAGATACGGCTTTTACTGATGGCCCGCTGTTGTTGTAGTTGTTTCGGTCGGCGTGCACAGATGCGGTCCCGCCTGGTGGCGCTGCTGGGCGTAATGGCGATGGTCACGTGTCAGCGCCAACCAGCCAACGCCGGTGCGGGCACGACGAGCGATCGTCACGCCACGGTGTCGACACCCGGTAAGTAAACAAACGTTCACCGTTGCGACCCGAAAGAATCGTTAATACGAGTACGCTGATAAAAGTTTTCCTTCTGCGCTCTCTCTTTCTCTCTCTCTACGCTCTCTCTTCTCTCTCTCTCTCTCTCTCTTCTCTCTCTCTCTCTCTCTGTCTCTCTCTCTCTAAAAATTACTACTCTAACCCTCTCACTCATCTCTCTCTGTCCTCATAACTCGTCTCTCTCGTCTCTCTCTCTCTCATCTCTCTCTCTCTCTCTCATCTCTCATCCTCTCATACTCGCTCAAAATCATCTCTAACTCTCTCTCTCTCCTCATACACGAACTACTTTTAAATAATCAGAAAAATATATGACAAATATGCTAACGGTATTCATTCATCCCTCTTTTCCTCTGTCGCAGTCTCTCCTCTCTATGCTCTCTCTCTCTCATCGTGTGCTCCTCTCACTTCTCTACAAATTTCTCAATCGCTGTAAGACTAACCTATACAATCTCTTCTTCTCTCTCTCTACTAACACATCGCAATGTGGCTACACCTTAATATATAAAAATCATCTTTATTTCTCTCTCTCACTTCGGCTGTGTCACCTGCTCCCTCTCTCTCTCTCTCTCTCTCTCTCACTCTCTGCCGTTCTCTCTCTCTCTCTCTCTTCTCTCTCTCGCTCGTTCTCTCCCCCCCACCCTCTCTCTCTCTCTATATATATATATATAATATATATATATATGAGCGGATGAAGGCGAGCGTTGGACGCCTTAACGCTTTAATTGCTGTCGCCCTCGTTGCTGGCTAACTGACATGACGAGACGGATTCACAGAATTTATCGGCGAATTATAGCGAGCTAGTAAATACTGCCGCGCGGCTTAAATGAAAAACATTAGACTGTCCGCGAAATAAATTGTCGAATAGCCTCAATTTACCCCCACGCTGCGCTCTCGTATGGTTTTTGTGCTCGTGTATCGAAGCTGTATATTTCATCGGTTACGTGTTGAAAAAAACTGTAACTATAATCGTTAGAGTTGTGCTTCAGCTTGATTTTGTTAGCTTAGAAAATCTTATGTTTGAGTGTTAAATTGAGCGTCTTATATTAACAGATACTTACGACGAGATTACGACAATCGAATGGCTCACAGCCTTCAACGTCCAAGTGCAGTTTCATTGGAATATAAAGGAAATCGCCGAATGGAATTATCTCACAAATATGACGGATGAAAACAGCCGAAAGTACGCAGCAGCAGTGATCATTACGCTGCTATCTTCTATATATTCGCTTATATATATATATATATATATATATATATATATATATATGCGATATTTCCCTAACAGGTTTTGGAAATTTCACCGAGAAATAAACACCTGCCCCACCAAAAGTACCCGCCTACCTATACGACAGGTGTTGCTTGTAACTTGTCGCCTCTCTTCCCTGTAGATACCAACAGGTGACACTTGACTTCAATAAATGGTACGTGAAGAAGAAGCTGGAAGCGATGCAGATAGATGGAAGACGACTGTCGTTTGACACGGCCTGGATGTTACACTTCGTGACGCGGGGACCTGTGATTGACGATGGAGATGCTGCTAGGTGTGCTACACTCACTCACATGCACGTACTTATTGTATCGATTTCTACGTCTAACTATTATAACTATTACAACTACGTATAACGCCTTATTGTAGACTGCTACGTGTGTAAATCTACTTCTGGACGTTGTGTTCTGTAGTTTTTGTTCTGTTTCGCTAAGTTATTTTTGATTTCGTGAGTTATAACACTCGTGAATATTTTTTATAGAAGGCAGGTATATATATATATATATATTCATATCATATATATATATATATGGGGCTGTGTGCATGCGTGTACGTGCGTGGCCGGCGTGTGTGCATGCGTGTGTGCATGTGGCGTGTGTGCATGCGTGTGTACATGCTGCGTGTGTGTGTGTGGTGTGCGTGTGTGCATGCGTGTGTGTGCGTGCGTGCGGGTACAGCTGATGTGTTTGAAGAGCAGGTAATGTTACATTAAACTAAGGTTGTAGTCGCCGCGCTTAGTTCCAAGAATGTCTCACATGTACATGCGCTGCGTTTCGTCACGCGATCGCTGTTTGTTTACGACGACTTTTTCGCGTTTTCGCAGAGAGATAACTTCTATTAAGGGCGGATTGTGGAGACACTGTTACGGACGACAAAGGTCTGTCTGGAAAAAGAAACGTCTGCCTCGGTGTTGGAACCAAACCTTACGGACATTATGCAGAACTCCAGGTAATAACCATGCCCACAGAGATCACAGAGATATCTTACAAAATATTCACGCTTTTACACTGTTAATGCATGCGGGAACCTTCGCGCTAACAACACAACCCGTTAAATATTAAGACATCGCTGTGATCTCCAAGACGGCGCACCAAACACTACCCATCAATCATTACTACAACTGTTACAGTTACCTACAATCTACATGTATTTAAGCCAGAAATGTGTGCAAATCTCTCGTTTGCAACATTTCTCCGATAACTTTCGCTCGCATCATGCCTGCAGTCAGAATTCGCATATAGATAACTAAATAATAATAATAATAATAATAATAATAATAATAATAATAATATTATTATTATTAATAATATTAATAATAATAATATTAATAATAATAATAATGATGAAGATGATAATTAATAATAATAAGATATAATAATAGTTATAATCATCGTAATTGTGTATTATCATGGTATTATATAATGCGATATTTAGGAACTATGACGAACTGCTGGATGTATGGCTGCGATGGAGGGACGCCGTGGGTCCGCAGATGCGACGCTCCTACGCTCGCCTCGTCTCTTTACTCAACCACGTCGCTAGAAGCAGCGGTATTGCACAACAAACCCGGCGAGCAAATACTAATCGATAGCTTACACTTTTACCGAGTCCGTCACCAATCGAACTGAACTGTCGCTGAGGGAGTGAGATGAGCATAATATTATATCGCAGTGCGCGTTGGAGCACATGCGCTGACAGAGGAATACTCAGGCTGTCAAAAAGCACACATATACGCGTAGACGCGCATATAGCGCATACGCGTCCATAAAAGCATATCATATTTCATAGCAAACATGTTTTATTCAAGGTTATAGAATTCTTCGCGAAATATTCGTTACATCGTTGATGATTTAAATGCTTTATAAGTAGTTATTACGCATGTGACAGAAGATTGTCTATAACTAGTGACAAGACAATCAAAGAAGAAGAATAAAATTCGAATGTCGCCAATTCACAACGCGTCCGTGGCTTAACGTTAATCGTGGTTTCCTTTGTTTCACAGGCTACAGTGATCAAGCCGAGGTGTGGAAGGAACTGTTTGACATACCAGACCTCAGGTCTTATGTTGAGCAGAAATGGCAGCGCCTGAGGCCTCTCTATCTGCAACTACACGCATATGCGCGCAGCAAACTCCGCCACTTATACGGGAAAAATAAAGTTTCCGAAAAAGGCCCTATTCCGGCACATATTCTAGGTAGTGAAGTCCTATTTTTATTTACTGATTGATCGATCAATCAACCAATCGAACGATCGATCAATCGGTCGATCGACTTTTGGATTATTAAATGAATGAATCATTCCATCATATATATTTTCATACACGCGCAAAGTTAGTTGAAGTTACCTAACAGAGTTGTTTTATAAATTATAAACTTGTTAGTGACGTCATATATATACATAATATCTGAGGTATCACCTTTACTGCAGTCCACATACTAGGCCATATAGAATAGAATATCTGGCAGCGCGTACGACTAGCACCATCTTTACTCTAACAACTGCTGTTTCAGATCGTCGCCCGCATGTATTCAATCACCATGTTGAAGCTAACGCTGTTGCATCACAGGGGAGTTTCTCAACCCTTTCATCACTTAGTTAACGTCAGGGACTAATAATACTTGCACGATGTTGATTTCACGACGCGTCTCTGCGGACGGCAGAAACGTCGGCAGTCAAACAACACATGCTAGCCTGATAGCTGCTTGCTATAGACGCGCTCGCAACGCGAACTCGATCGCTCCTGCTTACTCAGAGATATCGTTATTAACAAGGGTTCATAATGACCAATTTGTCATTATTAACCCCTGTTATTAGTGACACCCGCTCATCACAACTGCTTCTCCGCTCACCCGCACCCGTACTGACACCGTATGTCACTATATATCACGTTGATAGTATCATGGTGGGCACTCAGCGTGCTGAGGACGGGGAAAGTACAGAGCAGCTCACAATATTGGGGAAGCCGGTGCTGGGATTAATAGGTTCTATCACAGGATGAGCTTGAGATGGGATATCTCACCCGAGTTATAGATATCCCGTCTCATACGAGCGTAGCGAGTACCAAGTACCAAGTACCAAGTACCAAGCTGAATGTTGTTGTATTATATTTATTAATTTATTATTTATTATATAGGACTTACTATTTTAGTTTACGACGTTTTATTTGCTCCTCAAACCAGGGGCAGGTTCTTCCTTGCTCTATCCCCCCATCCATCCACCCTACCCCTACCTCTTCGTCCCCAGAGACCCTACCCCCGTGCAGGTACTTTAATTAACTGACAGCAGTAATTAAGAGGTCGCTCCTATGTTAACAGGCAACATGTGGGCGCAGGATTGGTCGTCGTTGTACAGCCTGCTGGCACCGTACCCCGGGGTTGAGCTACCTGACATCAGTAGCGAGCTGCAGGGACAGGAATACACGGCTGACAGGTGAGAGAAACCCCAGCTCGTTTAACTCTACTTTGTAAATCAGTAACTAGAGAAAATGACGCATAATAATCTAACTAAGGAGTGGATTTTAAAAGTATCAAAATTAGACATTCGCAGAATGGACGGAACATGTAATATGCACGGCATAAATGAGCCTGTAGTTCCCTATGAATCGAAATATGCGTCTCTGACATGCCGCTAACGTCTTACAGGATATTTCATACGGCTGAAGATTTCTACACGTCCATTGGGCTGGAGCCTATGACCAAAACCTTCTGGAAGAGGTCCATGCTGCAAAAACCCGCGGGCCGTGACGTCATGTGTCATGGGTCAGCTTTCAACATGCACGACTGGCGAGGCGAGGACTTTAGGTGGGTAGGAATATCTGTCAGCACTCGGCATTGATGACATCAAGCAAATGAAAAACATAAAGGGCTTGTCGCGCGACGCTTTCACGAGATTTTCAAAAGAATATTGTAATCGTAGTTTGATAAATACCTTTCGCGTTGAGTTGACAAACCAACTACCAAATTCGTACAAATTAATAACGGCATTTAGGATCAAGATGTGCACGGAGATTGATTCTTCGCATTTCTCGACCGCCCATCACGAGATGGGGCACATCGAGTACTACATGATGTACGGCGACCAGCCCGACCTCTACCAGGAAGGTGCGAACCCAGCTTTCCACGAAGCCGTGGGAGATACGATCCTTCTGTCAGTAAGCACTCCGCAACACCAGAGCATCATCGGGCTTGCCGCACCATCGTCGCACGCTGACAACTACGGTAGGACGCTATATACTAGCTTACAACCAATGATCACAGCCAGATCAATAAAGTTTATTCTACTTTTATTCTTTATGGCTACTGTGAGTCTAAAATAAAATTATTCTTACATTTGGAAGAAACTAGTCCCTTGCAGAGCAATATTCGTACAATGAGTTGTGTTAGGCTTATTGCGATATGCCTGATAGACATGATTCAAACACTATTCAAGTCTCAGAAACTAATACCCCCGTCAGACTGGACGGCGACCATCCGCGACCGTACGGCGACCAGAAAATGTACAAGGTCGCCGGCAAACGTGAACACAACGCGAGAAAAAGTCCCAGCAAATTACAAACTTGAAAAAAAACCGCGCTCTTATCGCGACCTATGCAATCATACCGCGTTCTCACGGCGCGCCCGCCACGACTTCTCCGCGCTTATGGCGTTTCTATTGAGATCTATGTGCTTGGCAACGGCGATCACTGGCGTTCCCGCGGCGCCCTCACCACGCTCATGGGGTTCTTACCACGCGTCTTCTACGTGTATCGCGACTGCACGGCGACCTCACGGCGTTTCTACCACGTTCTCACGGCGACTATATAAGCTGGTCAGATTTTCGGAAATTTCAACTGTATAGTTGTGCGTTTGCTGAGTAGAAACACGATGCCGAAGAAACAAGCTACCAGAGGCCGAGGCCGTGGCCGTGGCCGAGACAGATCGGCATGAAACAGATCGGCAGATCGGATGAGACAGATCCATGAAGTCGCCGTTGCAAATGTTACCATTTTCGCAGCGTCTTTCCCACGCGTGTACTGCGCGTGTACTACGTTCATGGAGATGTTACGACGCTTGTCTCACGACCTTCGCGACCCCACCGCGTTCTCACCGTGTTCCAGGTCAGATCGCCGAACCTTGGCGTTTGTTTTGAACATGCTCAAAACAAACGCCGTGACTCGGCGATCATTGGCGACCATGGCGACCACAGCACGATGTCTGGCGTTTCCACCACGCTTATACCACGCTTATGGCGACCTTAGCGCGCTCTGGGCCCATTTTCCGCCGTAGCAGCGCAGTAAGGACGCCACCCCGGTCTGACGGGGGTATAAGCAGAAATGGTGATATTTAGTGGAATATTATTCTCTTTACCATGAGTCTGATGGCAACTTTTAAATTTCAATTAAATCCACACATTCTAAAATCGTTCTCTTCTGCAATCAGGCCTCCGTCGAGATTATTTACGTAATTTAGCCAATATCGACTGAATAACCAAATACACTCCATAAAAAAAATCATCAGTGTTTTCCGAATTCGTGAGACTGAAGGTTATGCAGAACAAAATGTATAGAAGGTTTATGTTTACTCACCTATATGTGGAACGTAGAAAGACGTTGCATTGCTCGTCAGATACACAACTGACCTGGTACTGAAGTCGCTGTCAGGTTATAGTGAGCCAGTTGCCCAGCGCGCACGTTCTGTATTTCACAGGTGAAGTGAAATCTTGTATTGTGCAAACAGTAAAAACAGTGCAATCAAAACAGGATCCGGCAGTCACCTATATTTATATACAATGAAATAATTTGTTCATCTAGCACGCGTGATCCAGCTGCGTGCAATGTACTATATTCATTCGTTTGAAGTTAATCTAGTCATATAATTTTCTCGATGAAGTTGTCATATGCGAACGGCTATAATGATAGGCGTATATTAACAACCAGTTTTCTTATATATATGACTTATACGAGTGTTAGTAACAAAACATGATAACGGTGATATTCATAGTTAGCATTGCGACGTTAGGCGGCTCCATTTGCGTCCTGAACAATTAATTAATAACAATAATAACAATAATTAGTCTTGATACCTGCGATCTGGTTCAATCGTGGAGCTACGCGGTTGTACGTAGGCAAAAAAATGGCCTAGAAATAACTTCGATGTGGTTCTCTGCGTATGCCAGAGTTTCAGATAAACTACTTGATGAAAATGGCGCTGCGAACAGTTGCCTTTCTTCCATTCGGGTTGCTAGTGGACCTGTGGCGTTGGGACGTGTTCGAGGGTGTTGTTACTGAGGAGGAGTGGAACGAGCACTGGTGGAACCTGAGGTATACGCTACCCAGCATTGCTGCAAACCTACGCAACCTGCGCTTTACTGAACATCAGCTGCTGCTCAATGTTATTACCAAGTGGGGGGAAGCCGTATTGGAATTATCTCCCTTCCTCTTTAGTTAGTTGCAAGCTTGAGGCTTTTTCTACTGCGATCCGCAGTGTTGATCTGTCTATTTGTTCAACTTTGTCTTTTCCCGTCTTCGATATAGTCCCTTGGACTTTGAAGACTAATATTTATGAAGTTACGAGGTAAATCGAGGCAACTACCGGAAGCTGATTCTGGTGCCTGAAGCCATGCTAATTACGCACGCCCGGTGTAAACGCTCTTATATGCGCTGCTGCTGCCGTACCACTAAGAATCCTAATGTTTTAATCAGAAAGTCGTGTGACCTGGCTTGAAATTTGCAACGCCTTACTACTACAGCCTGGTGAAAACGTCTGTTCTCTTCTGGGTGAAATGGATCTCTTTCGCTATCACTATCTCTATTTCGACCTTTATATATATCTCTATTTCTATCTTTCCTTCTCTTTTTCGCTTGCTCGTTTGCTGTCTGACACTCCTAATACGCACATACTAACTTGTTGCTGAGTATTGTGTAATAAGTGCGATGCGTAGTTGGTGATACTTTGCCTTCTTGTACGTTAGAGAGCAGTACCAGGGAGTGCGACCGCCCACAGCTAGGCACAGCACCGACTTTGATCCAGGCTCCAAGTACCATATACCACTGAATAGCAAATACATCAGGTACTCATAAACTAACGTTGAGATGTAAATGATGATTTTTAACATCGCTATGCACCCGTGCAATGAGTGTGCGACGGCTGCTATCTGATATAGTACGAAGGTATATTGTATAGGAAGAAACCATCGTGATTAATTTTCTATTCACATTTTATTTTTCAGCTATTTCTTGAGCTACCAGCTGCAGTTTCAGTTTCACAAGGCGTTGTGCGCGGCGGCTGGCCATCAGGGGCCTCTGCATACGTGTGACATATACAACTCGCGGGCCTCTGGTGACACTATGAGGTATGCATTCTAAATACTAGCACGTTGCCGTTAGACAGTCATCGGGACTAGAAGCAAGTGCTCTTCCGTAAAATTAACCACGACGCTCCGCGTGCACGTTCAAGACACTCGGTTGTTCAGTTAAAGGGATACAAGTTTTAAAACGTTTAAAAAATATTTCTAATGAATATTGAATAATGGAATTTTTTTTATGTAACGTCTTTTAAACCTATTTTAACTGAAAATATGCAAGGAACCTGGGGGTCATGTATCCCTTTAATATCGCGGTGCACGCTCATGAATAAGCTATACCCGGTTTCAAGTCGAAGTAAACTATAGTTCCCCGAATTCGATTTGCTTCAATCACTTCTTACAAAGTACTACAAATAAATCGAACAGTTTCATGCGGTAATCGCGCTTAGCTTTACAGCGTAATCGTGGCGTTAGCCGCTTGCCAGTTAAATCAGCGCGTATTTCCTACGACAGTAGTAAAACTCAGGTTTACTGCTAGTTTTCTTGCGTTTGTAGGCGTGGGCTGCGACTCGGCTGCAGTCGACCGTGGCCGGACGTCTTAGAGCTAATGACAGGAGACCGGGATATGAGTCCGGATGCTCTGTTGGAGTACTACCAGCCGCTGATGCAGTGGCTACAGGAACACAACGCGCAACAAGATATTCACGTCGGATGGTAGAGAAACCAATGAACAGCAATCAGCGCCTATATATATATATATATATATATATATATATTACGGTGCGTATGTTATGAAACCACAATATCCGCATAAGACGCTCCTGTTTCTGATAGGTTTAGTGACATTTGTTTCTGAAGCCCTCGGTGTGACACTCGATGTACATGGCCTGTGATACAGGCCAAGCACGGGTAGGTGGGTGCTCAGATTTGCATATTTAGCCAGTTCTGTTCTAATAGTCATATTTATCATTACGCTGCTCATATCAATAAAAAAACGTGCGCATCTCTTCTAGGGCTCTCATTGTCACAAAGATTCATTAAACGCTTGGTTAATGAATGTAAAAAATGTGTTCATAATTACATGCGCTCGGCGTTTGAAAATACAGTGATATATAATAAATTACAAGCTGAAGTTGTGAAATGAACGTTTGTGTTCTACTTCTTTCGCTACGAAGCCCCTCCCCCAACATATGAATATATTGCAATGCAATGTAGTACATATACCCACAAATTTAATACAGTGCAAGACAGTATTTCATTATTTGACCATCATTACCTGGTTTTGCCTGTAGTATATATAATATATATATAGTATATTATGCTTGTAGTAATTGAGTGTTCCATCAAATATGTTTCAGGGTGGCTGCACAAAAATACATGTGTGATCATTCAACTTATTTGTCAGCAAGTAAACGTACATTATCATTAAGATTTACATTCGTTTAATTCAAAAGATCATATACTTGTACGCAATTTATTACACAGAATTTCACACACTTATAATTTTTGTCAATTTCTAACAATAATACATTAATAATAAAAACAAAAAGTACACTATACTTATATTCTATATTCGATTATCATATCGATTATTTGTAAACAGAATGTAGTAACGGGGTAGTAACTGCTGCCAAGAATGGCTTTATAGAGAATATACCCAATCTGTAACTGTGAAAAACTGTATTTAAACAGTTGTTACAATCAGTTAGCATCCCCACAAGTAGCAGCTGTGTCAAGTTCTTATAACTAACGATTTGAGATGGCCGATCTTGTTCAATAATAAAGATTCATGCTCCCAGTCGGTGTACAACAAATGTGCTCGTAATAAAAGTTACCTTGACCTGTTGCAATAATACCTAGATACTTCAAATAAACCATACATAGACTGCTAGAGCCATTATGTACATATTAGATGCAAACAATATGCAAAAATAATCCATAACAATCATTCTTTTGACCTTTCACATGTGAAAGATATTTTACAAGCTTCAAGGACAAGTAGCCCCCAGAAACTCACCCCCACTAAGGGCAACAACCCTGGGACAATTACCACTAATAATTTATTTACAAGATTACTGCATAGAATTAATTCCTTGAAAAAGAGTTAATCGGTTTGAGTGAAGAGGTGATTGTCGGGAATATTGTCTGGGGGTTAAATCCCATGGGAATGTTTTCCCATGGGATAACTTCTCAGAGGTACTGTTAGAGGGTAATTTTCCAGGGAATACTAAGTCTTGTCCTGATACTATTTCATGATACAAATCAATTTATTTCAAAACTAGACTTCTCTAATAGGCAATGCAATCTAGAAGCGATTATGAAACCATACTCATTCATTAATTCACTCAAATTTCCTCCAAAAATAATGGTTGTAGAAAATCAGCAGCAATTGATGGAACCAAAATGATTAACATGAAATAATGCAATTTTGTGCGTCATTTTATTCACTTTCTAGATACAGAAGAGAGTTGGTCACATATTTTTCCAAGACCATCCAGCATTGTGTCAAGCGTTCCCTTTGACAGTTCCACACTGTGAAAGGAAGTCACAGGAGCTGTACTGCTCTGATCCAGATTGTCCTGCACCTGCAATTATGGCAGCACCCATAAAAATATGACTGACACACTGCAATGCTAGGTACAAGTCAATCAAATCAGTTATTTCCAATATAAAACATACTATTACAGTTACTTATAATTACTAAGCTGGAATTACTCTTTTACTCTATTCAGAGAACATGAATTCCTGACTCAAATCTAATTAACATGGTATCACACAGTCTATCTATTCTACTAGGATTATACCTGAAGCTGAAGCAGGCATGTTGGAACTGACATTCTCGACACAGTCTCTGACGCCATCTTCAGGTCAACCCGCCAATCAAAATCTACCAGCTTCGGCATTGTGACTGAAATGAGAAAGTTCCTGCTTTAAAACAATAATCATATATATTGCAGATGAATTTTCTGTGTTCATCAAAAAATACTGTAAATACAGGTTATTATGAATCAATTTTAATCAAAAATAAATCACAATTACATTTCAAATAGAGAAAAATGCTATATGTTGAATTATGTTCTGATCCTAATTACATGAATATGAATTTAATGTTTAAATATACTTACTTTCACTGTTTATAATATAGTTTCGCCATGATTCTGAACGCTCTGTGATTATTTTTGATAAAAGATCTTTCAGGTTTTTATGAAAACTCTCTGAAAACAGAAAAATTAATTTAATTAAGAATCCAAACTCCATTTTCTAAACTACTTCTTTCTTATACATTATAAAAATAAAAATATAGAACTCTTAAACTTACAACATAGTACACAGATAATGAGATATAATATGTTTCAATCATGTGAGAGCTGGAAGACATTTGGAAATATCAGAGTAAAAAATTAAATGCAACAGAAGCTAGAAATACCTGGAAATATTGCCTGGGCAGATGGCAGGTCAGAGCAACCCTCGTAAATTGCCTTCTTTACTAGTTTCGCTAATGAATTCATCAACTGTATAAAAGATACACATGTTAACATCTGAAGCCGTACAACATAGTCCTATTTCATATAGAATTATGTACATTATTGGAAACAGGTGGTGGTAGTTTGCTGATAGTTATATACCTGTTGTGCTTCCGAGTCAGTGATGTCTAGTTTAGTAGACACATTGCCTGTTACTGTGGGCGGAACTGGGTGCGTATCTCTGTGCGTATAGGCAGCATCACAAAGCTGTAGGACAACCTCCTTAGATGGAGCCTGGAGGTATAGCGAGTTATTAATGTCTATTAATGTATCGGATGCACATTAAAGCGATACTATAGGAGGTGTACAACAGTAAGCTTCTGCAATTGTTCACCGTTGCACTATTTCGTTTCTAGAAAATGCCGTTTTTGGCATTTTTTTTCGCTGAAATTCGGCACTAGATTGCAATAATTTGCATCATGCACGCAAGTTAGATGCCTCGTGGACGTCTAGAAAGCATTAGAAGTAAAATTGGTCTTGTTGTGTAATTGTGCCATTCCAGCTAGTGGCGTAGCCATGGTCGCCGGTCGGCCATTTTTGTGTATGAAATGTAGTCAGACAACTTTGTAGAAATTCGCATCATAGAGCTGGCAAAAGTTTCGAGCGGAGCATAGAGCATGAAATTGTAGTTATTTAACATGAATAAAGTGTATGTTGTGTAAGCGAAGTAACAGTGCGAGTATTTTTAATTAATATCTGTTCGATGCTTATTCAGGCCTGCTGCCTATGGACGCCATCTACTGTTGTTCACCACCTATAGTCTATACCAGGGTTCTCCAAGAGCACTTATAGCCTGGCGGCCCGCCAGGCTATCGTCGAGCCCCGCCATCCTAAAATGCACCCGCCACTCTAAATATCATAGCCGCCGTGCTAAATATCATAGCCCCCGGACCCCCCTAGCACGCAAACCGCCTTCAGCGATTTGCAACTACGACCGTAAAGGCAGCACCCGCCATACTATAATGAAAAAGCTCGGAGAACCCTGTATACCCTAGAATTTTACAGTATTATGAGCAGGGGCGAGGCTACCATAACGCAGACACACAGTTGTGTACACATCATTTCACCAAACATTTCTTTTTATTGCAGAGAAAGAGAGAGAGAGAGAGAGAGAGGGGGGGGGGCGAGAGATAGAGATAGAGTCAGTCAGTCAGACTAAATTGTTTATAAACAAATAACACCCACACGGCGTGCCACTGTATTAGTTACATCATCGATTGAAATGTACATTCCGATTTTGCCGCGCAGCGTCCAAACTTTCTACATCTCTACACACAAGCTTACTACATCAGTGGCGGAATTAGGGGGGGGGGATTGGGTGGCTAGCTATATACCCCTATCTGTTGGACTAACAATACTTTTACATAGTCGCGTGGGTGTACAAAACGTCACCTGATGCATAGATTAAATTATATAATTGAGTGGCAAAGCAGGTTACAACTCTTTTGCAGCTTTTTCAGAATTCCAATAAAGAGTTTTGCTGTTGCCCTCATCCCAGCGGTGGTCAACCCTACACATTGAATAATGAACGCGACTTAAACACGCCGTGATGTGATGTGATGTGCAATGAGTGATGTGTGTGTTTGAGCACACACACACACACACGCACGCACGCACACAGAGAGAGAGAGAGAGAGAAAGAGGGAGAGAGAGTTTAAGACTGTGCGTTAGTTCAACATGTCTTGCTAATAAAACGAAAATTACTGTACATGATTAGTTATAGTGATCTTTAGTGATCACATCTTGTTGCTCATGAAGAGAATAGTTCTACTAAAAAGATAATTGTCGTAGTCAGAATGAAGGCTGTACATTTACTCAAAAGGGCCTCAAATACTATCTCCTGCGATCTACATTTCCACAATTTTCTGGGCCACCCGCCTGTGTGAGTACACATCCATTTCACCCTAGCTACGCTATATATACCGGTACCTACTAATTAATATTATTTATACCTAACTGCTATTTAACTTAGCTGCATAACGCTGATTAACCTTAATATATTTGAAAACGATATGTTGCGCTGCATCCTACTTTTAACAACAGCAAAAGCGTCTCAAACTCTGATTGTGTGGGCGCAGCCATCTTCATTCTAACGGCCCAACGGGTCGATCGCAGATCGCGTACTGAGAAATACACAGACTGGATGGTGGCGCCTCCCAGTGAATGAATTTATTTATTTATTTTGGTAATTAGCGATTAGAGAACAGACCACTATTAAATCCTCCATTGGATCCTCCATTGGAATTGAATTTCAGGAGCTGAAAAATAGTATTTCGACCGTTTTCGGCCGAGTGGCAATATTAAAGCTAGGTAGACATTAGCTCTAGTAACTATAGCCCGCGTACAGTTGCCGCAGGCGGAGCGGAGGGCTATAGTACTAGAGCTAGGTAGACATGTACTTCAGCTGTGCACCATTAGTTATGACATATGTTGTCCGGCGTTTTAAAAAAATATCGCAAATTTACTAATCGACACCACATTTGTGCCTGAAAAACAGTCGTGCAGTCGAACGGGGGCCATACATTGAAAGAATTCGTTTTATATTACCAGTAACCATCCACCCAGCATGTCATTGACACACACGATAGCCAGCCTAAATAATGCAACCACAAAACGTCGCGTCAGCTTTAGTGCACGAGCTGCGGGCACTCCGATTGGTCGGCCGATGACGCGTCTCATCATCTAACCCACTGATCTCTATAATATAATCGATTATATTATAGAGATCAGTGATCTAACCTAACAGCAGAAGGCAGAAAGGTGCGATATGATATGACTACTAGGCACTTTAATTTAATTAAATTTTTTTTTTAGGGTTAGGGTTAGGCAAACTCCACGACAGATGGCGCTCTCGCTCTGGCTCAATTCTACTGTGTGTATTATCCTGAGTGTGGGAAGGGGCACTGCATGCAGTTTGAGGGTTAGGGTTAGGGTTAGGGTTAGGGTTAGGGTTAGGGTTAGGTTTTTTTTTAAGTGCCTATAGTAGTCATATCCTAAGTGCCTAGTAGTCATATCATATCGCACCTATCTGCCGGGTGCAACCTAACAGGGTAATGAACCGGTAGTGATTTAATAGTGGTCACGTGTCATTAGTAGGTCTCAGGCAAAGATCGTATAGTGCCGGAGGCCTATACGATCTTTGGTCTCAGGGGAGAGATAGTGATCCGCTAGATGGCGCATTATTAGTATAAATAAGTTGTGGATATAAGGCGCGTTCACACGGACGTTTTTGGCCCGAGCCTAATTAGGCCCGTGCCAGATTTGGCTCGAGCCGAGCGTTCACACGGACGTTTTTGGCCCGAGCCTAATTAGGCCCGTGCCAGATTTGGCTCGAGCCGAGCGTTCACACGGACGTTTTTGGCCCGAGCCTAATTAGGCCCGTGCCAGATTTGGCTCGAGCCGAGCGTTCACACGGACGTTTTTGGCCCGAGCCTAATTAGGCCCGTGCCAGATTTGGCTCGAGCCGAGCGTTCACACGGACGTTTTTGGCCCGAGCCT